TATTCTTTTAAGATTAAAATAAAACTAAAACTAAAAAGTAAAAATAACCTAATTAATCTAACAAACCTACCTAAAAACATACTACACGTAAGAAAATGAAAGGAAAAGAAGAGCAAAAACAGTTTGATGCTTTTTAAAATAAATAAATAAATAAACAACAACAATACCATACACCCCCACACTCCCACTTTCCCACAATTCTCTATATTCCCACTTCACACGACTAAAGGAAGAAAAAGTCAATAACAAAAAGAGACCCCCACACACACGTACCAAAAATCTGCAAAAAAAAAAAAAAAAACCTATCCTATATATATAGGACACATACGTACAACAAAAAATAAATAAAAAATACACACACAGAAAAAAACACAACACACAGGGAGAGGTATTAATCGAAAAAAACAATATATACATCGTACCTTTTCACATTGTGATTGAAAATCTGGAAATCTGTTTTCGCGGTTTCAAGTTCGTGGCTCCTAATTATTGGTCCTTTCTTCTCGTTAACTAATTTTCACAAGAGGTAACATTTATTTGTATTCTATTTTTGTATAATTTTATGTCATTATTGTGCAAGACTTTGTTCCCATATATTGAAGTTATCGGATTTAATATGTATGTAACTCACTAATATTCTTTAATGTTATAATATTTAGATATGTTTAAACATGTTATATCATTAAAATTAGAATAAAATTTATATAATATCATAATTATTTATTGTATGCTTAAAGGTCCGATATTTACCTTTTTTTTTGTTAGATGTGTGGAGTCTATATGATACTTCTATAAAATAGTTGAGGTTTGATAAGATTTATTTCGAATTTTTATGTTAATTGTTCTTTGGTACGTATACATATGAGTTTCTTTATCTGGATTAGTATGAATTCTTTTCTAGTAGAGTAATTATCATTAGTAAATGGTAAAATTAATGTTGACTTGTATTAGCTGTATTTTGGTTTATGTTATTTTTGTAGGTTATGATGGCATACTATGTCTTTGACGTATGTTTTAATTTTATTTTATTTTAGCATTGAATTTGTTCATAAAAAATCTAGTTAGGATATTTATGATGGCATACTATGTCTTTGACGTTTGTTTTAATTTTTGTTTTATTTTA